TGATGATAATGGTGAAGGTAATCTGAGTTATGTATTATACACATTACATCTACATAGATTCACAATAACAACTTATGTTTTTACTTAGAAAAATCTAAAAACTTGGCAAAATAATTTTATGTAAATCTCGACTTTACTTGATATTTGCTTTTTCATATGGATTGATGAGTTTGATCCTTCACTTTCTTATAATCAGGCGGTACATTTGCACTATACTCTTTGCTATGTCGGCATGCCAGATTGTCAATTTTGCCTAACCAACAAGCTATTGATGAGAATTTGTCAACTTATGATGTTGAAGGATCTACAGACACTTGGCAGAGTGTTATGCTTAATGATTTTTTCAGTAGGTACCCGAGATTAAAACATGGGCTTCTAATTGTTGTTTTGCTTGGAACTTGCATGTCGATTGGTGATGGGGTGCTCACTCCCACAATCTCAGGTGATTGGTTGTTCACATCAATGTTTTGCATGAATTTTACTTTGATTAGTCAGATTTATGTTAAACTAATCTATATCTTCTCTATCACTATAATTTTTTTTTTGGGAACTAAAAATAAAAGCATTTCTCTTAATTCTCGACCTTGCATATTTGGCCTTGATTTCCTAATGTGCACTTAGGGTTTATTTGGAACGATTACAATATTTTATAAAGGTAATTATGATGTCGTCATAGGGAAAATAGTTTTTTTGAAAGCTACTATGAATGCTAAATATGTTCTTAAAAAAAAATTGTTGCCCTCTGGTTGCAGAAAGCAGCTTCCTGCCATAGAAATTTCTAGAAAGTAGCAAGAAAGTAACAAGTCATAGCCAAACAAAAACTATGGTTGTACTCTAAAAAGCAAAGTAGTAAGAAAGATGACCCTAACAAACCCTTATAAACATTTAGGTGTGAATCATTGAGACTGTTCTATAAGAAAATATGGATGATATCTTGTGATGTTTTTGTTGGTCTAGTGAACTCATCTTCTCCTATTTGGAACCAAAGTCTAGGACTTGTATACTAATTTGCATAAGTTTATTACATTCACTATTGTCACCCCGACTTTATTGGTAGTAAGAATAATGAATAATGAGAAAGAAAGTTGGTGCTTATGTTTAGGGGTGTCAATATTTGACACGACCTAAAAATTTGACCCGAACCCGACCCAAACATTCTAGGTTAGGGTCAATCTATTTCGCAAATGGGTCAAGTTCGGGTTCAACTAATTGACCCGTTTGAAAATTTATTTTGAAAAAAGTGGATGTGGACTCTAAATCTCCCACGAGCGCAAGTCCTCATAGTTAATTACATCGTAATAAACTGGAGTCTCCTATGAATACTCTCTATTAAAATAATGATGAATTTTGTTTGAAATTTTTTTAGGAATAATACCAAAGGAGGTGGAATCGGAACTTGAACTGGGAATGAATCAAATTGTGGACATTTATTTTCGGAATAGACAGAGGAGAGGTAGGAGACACTTTGAGATTCTAAAAGAATTCAAAAGTATCCCAACTTAAGCTAAGTGTTGGGCTTTAAATTTTAGATTGAGAGAAAATTTTTTTATTCGAGTTGATCGTATTATTAGAAATTTGGGATTATATTCCCGGAGGTTGGGGTCTTATGATTCAAAATCTACCTCAGATCCTAAATCTAAATTGAGCACCGGACAACGGTGACCCGAACCTTATTAATGCAATGCAAAATTTGGACTTACCCCTACCTGAGTTGGAGAGCCAACTAACCAACTAGTCGATTTAAAATTCATGAGTTCGATCCTTATGAAAGAGTGGTGGGGATGTTGTTAATTAAAATTTTTAAGAATTGGGACTGATGTCTAGAGCTTGTCCTAATTGGTCTCTTGACTTATGTAGGGTGAAATAGACTCTTTTAAATTTATTTTTAATGCAATGCATGCTAATCGAGTAATGATATGATTTATGCTGACTCCTGGCGGTCCCGGATTTACTTCTTAGATAATTCGAGTTTCTATGTGAGCTAAAAATTTTATTTAAATTTAAGTAGAAGAGTTTTATGCGTGCCCTCAAGAGCCTCAGTGTATTCAGGCTAAAATAAAAGGCGACAAACAAACGCTAAAAAACTAAGAAAAATAGGCAATCCTATATCCAATCGAATCAAATCAAATACATCAATCAATTAAATTATTTCCTTAAAGTTCGTAGAAAAATGCCCCATTTATTACAATACAGAATTGCATAAATTAAAAGTGGCCGAACACCACTAACCACAAACCCAAATTTTAATCCTAGGACTGACACAAGTAGACTTTGAGTGAGATACTCTTCTGCCTTTAACTCTTCATCCTTCTCTTCTTTGAACTCCTTGAATTAGTCGTATCTGGATATCCAAATGGAAAAGAAAACTCTTCCCCGTAGGGGGAGGTTATTCTTTTCCCCTTTGGGTATTGAAGTAATCCAAAATTGAGCTTTATAATTGAAAAGGACTGCCTCCCTGAGGGGTATCCTTTCCTCTTTAGAATCCAATTTTGGATACTTGTGTCCCAACTCAAATACTAACTTTCACAACTCTTGACTTTTAAACAAATTACATTGATATAAGAATAAAAATTTAGACTCTCCTGCAAGATTATCCTTAGCATTTGAAAATAAAACACATCCTATGCAATTTATATTTATATGTGCAGTAAAATAAATCATACTTGGCCATGCTCTTATTTAATTGGGGGCTAAACATCAAAAGTACCTATAACATTTATAATGATTATTATTTTTAGCCCTCTTTTTATTTCCATACACGAGCGTGGCCACCTGTAGAAAACTTTGTGAACAACCAGATCGATCATAACCTAAAGGTAAACTATCGCCCATCACATCAATTCACAGAGTACAAAAATGGTAAATAAACACTCACATCAATAGTCCATCCTAACTTAGGGCACTTAGCCCCGCAGCCGTATTAGTCCATCATAAAAACTTCATCTTTATAGTATTTGTTGTGTATTAGAATATTGGTTAAATGATTTTATTAATCAAGTTAGATTTTCTTGGAATTTTAAATAGATTATTGATTTTTTTTGAAATTATTGATATTATTTAAATGTATTGATTAAGGGGTTGAAAGTTGACTTTTAAAATTAGGATGGTTTTAAAAATTTCAGATTTGTAACAAATATTAGGCCTTAATATGAGTGATTGGACTGTTAGTTTACTCAATTTGGAGTTTTCTATAAAAAATTATGATTTTCGAAGTTTAAACCTAGATTTGAGCTACGGGTGACCGGAAAATTGAATTTATTTTGAATTATTTGTGATTTTTTAAAATTAGGGTATTTTTGGATTTTTTAAAATTACCTTAATTAAGAAGATTTTTAAATTTTGATCCAAATCAATCCCAAAACTCTTGGGATTACCCCAAAGGTCAGAAATAACTTAAAGGAATCTTCCCAAGCATTTGGGTAATTTTTAGAAATTTTAAATATTTTTATTTAATTATTATAATTTATTGTTGATTTTCCTTTTAAGTTAATTTAAAGTGAAATTAGGGGTTATCTGATAGAGCTTTTATTTTTCATTAAACAAGGGTTTGATTAGGAGCAATTAGAGGTCTTGTATGAAATTTTTGGATTTGATATTAATTTTTAATGAATTAATTAAGGTTTTAGGCTAAATCTACAGGGGATTTTGGGGTTCTTAGTTGGTGGACCAAATAGGCACCAAACTCAGTAAATATTGGACCATGAGATCACTTGATCTCAAGATCCAAACCCTTTGAATTTGGGCCTAAGTGGAGCTCTCTAAGGTGGCTAACCAAGCCACCCAAGGTAACCTCTAGGCCACCCTAGAAAATTCCTAAGTGACTATCCTAGGCTTGGATGGGGGTACAATTAGTGGCTCTAAACTCCTTAGACTAAGCATAATTAATACACCAAAATCCAAAACCTAAATCTCATTGGATAGATCACAAAGACAATTTGAAATCAAGGGTTAAACCATGACCCTTGACTCCAAATTGACCAAATCATGCCCATAGATGTTTCAAACAATGGAGATAAAATTTGAGCATGTCAAATACATGCCCAAATTCAATCTCCCAAAGTCCCAAGCCATGATGACATCACATAAGCACACAAATGCATAAATACCATAAACATTCAACTGGAAATTGAGGCTAACAAATATATGATCAAGGCCTAAGACCATATGACTTTTGAAGATCTCCCTGAGATCTTTCCAATGAGCCTAAGAGCACCTAAATCGGCCAAGTGGATTGGGAGATAAGAAATTTTGAAGTTTCCCACAATTTCTTGTGAAATTAAATCCCTATTTACACAGTCAGCCACCGCTTTTACATGCGGCGCAATCTGATTGGTGAGGCAATGTTGCCTGCTGACTGTGTAAACGTGGAATTGATTACAACAATTAGATGGTTGATCGAACGACTGTTATCAAATAGCCTTCAGAACCGCAGGATATAATTCGAACTGTTTATTGGAATCAATGGCTAGGATTGTGTCTTAAACCTCCCGCACGAACCTGAAGCTGTAGATGTTTTTCGGCATGATCCAAGAGATCCCGCCAGCGAATTCCTTCGAAATTTTACAGGAAGGATCAAGATAACTTAAACCGTCAATCCAATGGCCAGATTCCTGTGGGTTGATGTTTTACTGCACACTTTACCGACACCACCTAACTATGAGCTCGGAAGAGGATTCTCACCATGTAGAAAGCCCCAATGAATGAGTTTTTCTATTAGGAAGCTTCAGGGGATGAAGGCGAGTAGTTCTCCTTCATACGTCGGGACTGGAGGATGGCCGGAGGTACGAATTTGAGCGGGACGTAGACAGGTTTCACCGGAGCTCACTCGAACTAGCAGGCGGAGGGGGCTGGGAAGTCGGGGAACAATAAAGGAAGACTTGGGGAGCTTTGGGGAAAGTTTTGGAATGCTTGGGAGCCAATCCAGACGTTTGGGTGAGGGAACCCTGTTCGAATGCCTCTCGCGAGCTTGGACGGCCATGATGGCATTGACGGACATTTAGATGGCTTCTAGGTGTTGGGGGACACTTCCTCAGAGGTCCGTGAGCTCGAAGACGGCGATCTCAGGCTTTGGAAGCCTTTGGATGAGGCCCGAGATGGAGGGGACCACCGGAGCTCCAATCCGCTTGTCCCGGTCGCCGATAGCCACTGGCTGGGTCAGGGTGATCTAGAAAGGACACTGGGGATGTGGCGAGCTCAACCATGACTTTAATTGGGAAGGAGGCAGCCCAATTCACCTAGATTGCTCGGGTTGACCCACACCTGTAAGGTTTGGGTCCATTTGGGTGCAATCTAGTCAAGCCAGATGGTGAGCTTGATGGGGAAGATGAGTTGGGTCAAGGAGTACCCAATGCAGGTGGAAATTGAGTTTGAATTGCTCTAAGGCGGGAGATGGCTCAGATCAAGGTGATTTTGACCCTTTTGGACTAGCCTAGAGGTTGACCCAAGTCAACCCAAGGGTTGGGCTGACTAGGGTAGGCGCCTTGGGCCTAGGGGAACCCAATGGAAGTGTTGATTGGGTTAGGTGAGGCTTAGGTTGGGAAATGGCTCAACCCAAGGTGGTTTTGGCCACTTTGGATTACCCTAATTCTTAACCTAAGTTGACCCAAGGGTTGGGTCAACTAGGGAAGGTGTATTGGGTTAAGGGGAACCCAATGCCACTATTGGTTTAGAGTGGAAGTTGGCTCAAGGGGGGCCTCTACTTGGGTACTAGGGTGAAGCCAAATGGCTAACCGAAGTGGGCACAAGGCTTCGGTCTTCGAGAGGGGTCTCTTGAGGACCCAATGGGTCACCCCATGGGTATGAATGGGTTTGGAGATGTCTTGATCAAAGGGTTTGTATGGGTTAAAGTGTATGGAAGGTTTGGTCTAACTTGGTTGACTTGGTTAACCAAGTTGACCTAGGTCAAGGGTTGGGTCCATTGAAATCAATGGGAGTGGTCCCAAGTTTAGGGAAGGTCATTTGGTTTGAAATGAGTGTTTAGACCCTTAAAGGTCACTTTGGTCAGCTATGATTGGCTTGGTCAACCAAGTCAAACCAAAGTGAGGGTTTGGATTCAATGTGTTCCTAAGAATATTTAGGATCCATTGAGATAGGTTTTGGAGGTTGATGAGGGAAGACAATATTGAATTTTGGGAAAAAATCAAAATTCCCGTAGATGTGCATTTTGGTCTTTTTGACCCTAGGTCAACCATGGGTCAAATTGGGTCCAGAAAAGTGTAGGTTGCTGGTAAAAATGTCCTAGTGGAGGCTATGGGCATGATCAATGAGCTTGGGGAAAGTCCCAGAGTCAATTTCCACAAGGTGGCAGACTCAGTAGCACATGTTGTAAATAACTGAAGGTTTTATAGCCATTAAAAATCAATCTGATTTCTGGTATTAGAGGCCTCCAAATGAGCTCAAATTTGAAGGGTTGGCACTAAACACATGTCATATAAATATGGAATTGATAGACCCTGAATCAGATGTCAATTGACTGGGTTTCAAGGTGATAGAAAAATTATCTAGAAAGGGTTTCAGAACCTGGGTCCTTAATCCTATGATTTTGGTTTGGATGTTTGATTTGGATTGGAATTTGAGATTGATTGTTTGAGTTTGGATCATCCAAATCAATGACAATCAAATGAATGATTGAGATTGATTGAATGTGTTTTGAAAGTTGATTGAAATTTGATTGGGAGGCAACATGAGGGGGGGAGCTTGGCTTGGGCGGCAACATGAGTGGGACCCACACAATAATGAAGGCTTGGATTAGGAGGGAAAATTCAAATTAGGGGTTATTTAGGGATTAATGAATTTTCCTTTTACTTTAAATGATCTATTTCTTGCTAGGGTTAAGTTTTCATCTTGAATTTGAATTCAAATTTGGGATCTTGGTGTTGGTTTTGGGCTCTAGTCTTTGGTTAGAAATTTGAAAAATTGAATCTTCACTTGAATCAAAGATTCATTGTATCGTGTTGTTTCTTTTTTGTCTACTATTGAATTTCAAGTGTTTTCTCCTTGATTTTCCAACTGTTTTGAAAAAACTGCTGTTTACTGCTGAATTTCATATTTTCCATTAGTTTGGGCTGTTTTCTATCAAAAGTCTCAGTGTTCATATGAGCAACAGGTGTAAATATTTTATTGAAGTTCATACTTGATTATTGAGTGTAGTCTTTTGCAACCAATCAAGCTTTATTCTTACCAGTAGAACCATCTTCTTTGTATTTTGTTATGCAAATCCATTCGATTTTGATTTTTATTTTGCTTTAGGAAGTTAGACAAACTCCCATATTTTATTCTTCTGAATTAAGAATTTTTCTTCAGTCATTGCTTTTAGCCCAATTTTGTCCTTTTGCTTCTTCAAAAAATTGAATCTCACGTGTAAACAATGCAGCATTATAAGTCTCATATATTTCTTTTATAAAGCATGCCTACTTTGGGGACAAAAAGCCAAGAAAACCATTCATTAGTAATGTTGATGTTCCTCATGAATTTCTAATACTGTTGCATTTGAATTTCTTCTTGAGAGAAATTCGGCTTCACGAGAGCAACAATTTTCAACTGAGTATGATTTCTTCTCATTTTCATGTTTGCAGCTCATTAAACACAACATCTCATGGAACAACAATGTCATTCCTCTTTAGATTGTAAAGACAATACGCTTTATATTCTTCGTTACATCTAATTATGATATATTTTTCTCCTTTTCATCGAACTTCTCTCTATATTGAAATGGAATAAAAGCATGAGCAAGACATCCTAAAACTTTTAATTATGTTCGCGAACAACATCATTTGAAGTTCGCGAACAAGCTCGACATTAAGCTTGATAAGAAGCTCGATAAAAGCTCGATTCGTGTTCGATTTTGAACTCGTGAATAAGCTCGATAAAAATAATTAATATTTGATAATATAATTAATAATTATAAATAATATAAATATTTTATATTTTTTATAATATAATGATATAATTAGTATTAAACTTAAAAAAAGAGTGCTTAGCTTTGTTGATGTACCTCCACCTCACAAGACAACTAATATTCATGATGTATTATACAAGGGGCCATTCCTGAAAGTTGTTTGCATTTCCTTTGCTGATCTTGCAATCCTTTTGTGGCCACTAGTTGTTACTGGATCAGTTATTGCTGCATGTATCATATATTACTTAACTTGTTGTTTAAGTAATTGTAGCTGTATATGGATATTTATTTATAAATCATTGCCTTTATTAATGATATTCTTAGGAAAATTCTGTGAAGATGGGATTTGCTTATAAGTCATTGTCTTTGTTATATAGACAATTACTTTAATTATAAATATGTTTGTTCATAGATATGTTCACGAACATGTTTGTTTGATAGTTTAAAAAAAATCTTTAAATATGTTCGCGAACATGCTCGATGTAATCATTTGTTAGAAATCTCGATAAACCTCATTTGTTAAGTTAATGAACATGCTCGTTCAAATTTATTTGTTTAAAGCTCGATAAATACTAAACGAACGAACATGAACCGAACATGAACACTTAATAATTTAAATGAACACAAACAATAATGCTCGAACAAACATGAACCAAACTTGAACAAGCTGATATTAAATGAACACAAACATGAATACTTATATACTCATCTCGGCTCGGTTTGTTTGCAGCCCTAGTTCAAACCTTACAGTAAAAATCCCAGACATTTGTTCCGTGCTCCACTCCGGCATTTATTCATTTACGTCTTCAGTTTGTTTCATCTCCTCGAACGATTCTAAGTCATCCAAAGAGATTTTCATTTTCGATTCGTCTTCCTCGCTTTTCTTCACAGAGGTCTTCTAAGTAATTTTCATGAACCCTAATGTACAAAACAAAATAAAAAGAGCAGCCTTTTTTAAATTTTTGTGGTAAAAACGTAATAAAAAAAAGACTTTTTACCTTCGGCCCAGGTCGGGTTGTCTGGCCGCGCTATAAATGGAGCACATGCAAAAAAAATCGAGCTGGTCCATCAGGTCGTCGGGTCACAACATGGCATCATCCTATTAGATTCCAGATGTATAGATGTGTAGGGAAAAAAAAAAATCTTTTTGAGCCATCAGGAGTATGATCTTTTCAACGTGTCCTCATAAAATGCGTGTCAGAACCTCTTTTATGGCCACACTCTCTGCGCTCATCACTTAACTGCTTGACTGCTTCCCACCCAATCTTTACTCTTTCCCACTCTTCCGCACTATAAATCAAAACTTAACCTTCCTCCCTCCATCACTGCTTCAGCCGCTTCCCTCTTCCTCATGAGCTCTTCAAAATCACCAGCATTTGCACAGGAGGAAGGCCCAGAACCCTCCGTATGCTTCTTTTCCTTTTTTTTTTCTGTTATAATCTATCGACGAGTTTCCATTGCGAACTATTCCGAATCTTTTTTCTTTATTGTGCTGATGAAAATGGCTTTTGATTGTGCCAATCGAAATCTTCCCCGAGTACTCATAAATGCCCATCGAAATATTTCCACATTTTTGTGGAATTTTTTGTATTGGATTGTGAAAAGTGTTCATCTTGATGTAGTGTATGATGGTTTCTGACCAAAAAAAAAAAAAAGAAAGAGAAAATTATTGCTTGGTTACTCTCCCCCTTAATTCATTTCCTAAGAATGCTTTACTTTATAGAACATATTGCTTCACTGGTTTTACTCTGTTAAAAACTATTGCTTTGAGCTATTAGTAGGAAATTATCACAGAATTCTTATCTATCATAGTTAACATATTGATTTTTATATTTAGTTAAATAATACCATTGTAGTTAAATCATGTATATGCATGAAAGTTTATATTTGATAAGTTAGTGTTGGTAATATATTTGGTGTGATTTAAATATAAGGTTGTTATATAAGTAAATATAAAAAATTAGGTATTTGATATGTAAATACATAAAAATTTGCTGTTATATGGTAATGAGATATGGTCCATTTAATTTTTTTTTAATTACAGAAAGAAATATCTTCCTCTTTTAATACTGTTTGATGTAATGGCAAATAGTAATCTTGATGATATTTGCAAAACCTGAGATTTAGTTGTTTCAACTTTTTTTTAAATTAAAGAAAGAAGATGGTTTGACGTTGATTTCCACTGTCTTGAACCAGAATCCGAAGAATTCTTCTTACAAGGATGTACTCATACTTGCTTACCAAAGTCTGGGTGTGGTGTATGGTGATCTTAGCACTTCACCTTTGTATGTTTATAAGACTACTTTCTCAGGGAAATTGAGCCTGCACGAGAGTGATGAGGAAGTTTTTGGGGTTTTTTCTTTCATATTTTGGACTCTCACTCTCATTCCACTGTTCAAATACATTTACTTTGTCTTATCAGCTGATGATAATGGTGAAGGTAATCTGAGTTATGTATTATACACATTACATCTACATAGATTCACAATAACAACTTATGTTTTTACTTAGAAAAATCTAAAAACTTGGCAAAATAATTTTATGTAAATCTCGACTTTACTTGATATTTGCTTTTTCATATGGATTGATGAGTTTGATCCTTCACTTTCTTATAATCAGGCGGTACATTTGCACTATACTCTTTGCTATGTCGGCATGCCAGATTGTCAATTTTGCCTAACCAACAAGCTATTGATGAGAATTTGTCAACTTATGATGTTGAAGGATCTACAGACACTTGGCAGAGTGTTATGCTTAATGATTTTTTCAGTAGGTACCCGAGATTAAAAAATGTGCTTCTAATTGTTGTTTTGCTTGGAACTTGCATGTCGATTGGCGATGGGGTGCTCACTCCCACAATCTCAGGTGATTGGTTGTTCACATCAATGTTTTGCATGAATTTTACTTTGATTAGTCAGATTTATGTTAAAATAATCTATATCTTCTCTATCACTATAATTTTTTTTCTTTGGGAAATAAAAATAAAAGCATTTCTCTTAATTCTCGACCTTGCATATTTGGCCTTGATTTCCTAATGTGTACTTAGGGTTTATTTGGAATGATTACAATATTTTATAAAGGTAATTATGATGTCGTCGTAGGAAAAATAGTTTTTTTGAAAGCTACTATGCTAAATATGTTCTTAAAAAAAAAAAATTGTTGCCCTTTGGTTGCAGAAAGCAGCTTCCTGCCATAGAAATTTCTAAAAAGTAGCGAGAAAGTAACAAGTAATTGCCAAACAAAAACTATGGTTGTACTCTAAAAAGCAAAGTAGTGAGAAAGATGACCCAAACAAACCCTTATAAAGATTTAGGTGTGAAGCATTGAGACTGTTCTATAAGAAAATATGGATGATATCTTGTGATGTTTTTGTTGGTCTAGTGAACTCATCTTCTCCTATTTGGAACCAAAGTCTAGGACTTGTATACTGATTTGCATAAGTTTAGTACATTCACTGTTGTCACCCCAACTTTATTGGTAGTAAGAATAATGAATAATGAGAAAGAAAGTTGGTACTTATGTTTAGAGGTGTCAATATTTGACACGACCTGAAAATTTGACCCGAACCCGAACCAAACATTTTGGGTTAGGGTCAATCCATTTCTCAAATGGGTCAAGTTTGGGTTCAACTAATTGACCCGTTTAAAAATTAATTTTGAAAAAAGTGGATGTGAATTCTAAATCTTCTACGAGCGCAAGCCCTTGTAGTTAATTACATCGTAGTAAACTGGAGTCTCCTACAAATACTCTCTATTACTGAATTTTTTTTGAAATATTTTTAGGAATAATACCAAAGGAGGTGGAATCAGAACTTGAGTTGGGAATGAATCAAATTGTGGACAGTTATTTTCAGAATCAACAGGGGAGAGGTAGGAGACACTTTGTGATTCTAAACAATTCAAAAGTGACCCAACCTAAGTTAAGTGTTGGGCTTTAAATTTTGGATTTAGAGAAAATATTTTTATTCAAATTGATCGTATTATTAGAAATTTAAGATTATATTTTTCGAGGTTGGGGTCTTATGATTCAAAATCTACCCCAGATCCTAAATCTAAATTGAGCACCGGATGATGGTGACTCGAACCTAATTAATACAAGTGAAAAATCTGGACTTACCCCTGCCTGAATTGGGGAGCTAGCCAACCAATTAGTCGATTTAAAATTCATGAGTCCGGTCTTTATGAAAAAGTGGTGGGGACGTTGTTAATTAAAATTTTTAAGAATTGGGATCGACGTCTAGAGCCTATCCTAATTGGTCTCTTGACTTATGTATGGTGAAAATGCTAAAGAGAACTACAATTAAAATTTAGACACTTTTAAATGTGTTTTTAATGCAATACATGTTGATCGAGTAATGATATGATTTATGGCGACTCCTGGCGATCCTGAGCTTACTTCTCAGATAGTTAAAGTTTCTATGTGAGCTAGAAATTTTATTTAAATTTAAGTAGAAGGGTTTTATGAGTACCCTCACGAGCCTCAGTGTATTCAGGCTAAAACAAAAGGCGACACACAAATGCTAAAAAACTAGAAAAAACAAGCAATCCTATATGCAATCGAATCAAATCAAATACATCAATCAATTAAATTAATTCCTTAAAGTTCGTAGGCAAATGCCCCATTTATTACAATACAGAATTGCAAAAATTAAAAGTGGCCGAACACCACTAACCACAAACCCGGATTCTAATCCTAGGACTGACACAAGTAGACTTTGAGTGAGACACTCTTCTGCCTTCAACTCTTCGTCTTTCTCTTCTTCGAGCTCCTTGAATTAGTCGTATCTAGCAACTTGGTCATGCCCTCTTTTTATTTCCAATTAATTGGGGGCTAAGCAGCAAAAGTACCTATAACATTTACAATGATTATTATTTTTAGCCCTCTTTTTATTTCCCTACACAAGCGTGGCCACCTACAGAAAGTTTTGTGAGCAACCAGATTGGTCATAACCTAAAGGTAAACTATCACCCATCACATCTATTCACAGAGTACAAAAATGATAAATAAACGCTCACATTAATAGTCCATCCTAACTTAGGACACTTAGCTTCGCAGCCCGTAGCAGTCCATCCTAAAAACTTCATCTTTGTAGTATTTGTTATGTATTAGAATGTTGGTTAAATGATTTTATTAATCAAGTTAGAATTTTTTGGAATTTTAAATAGATTATTGATTTTTTTTGAAATTATTGATATTATTTAAATGTGTAAATTAAGGGGTTAAAAGTTGACTTTTAAAGTTACGATGGTTTTAAAAATTTCAGATTTATAATAAATATTAGGCCTTAATATGAGTGATTGGACTGTTAGTTTACTCAATTTGGAGTTCCTATAAAAATTAATGATTTTTGATGTTTGAACCTAGATTTGAGTTACGGTTGACCGGAAAGTTGACTTTTTGACCGTGACTTAATTTTGGAGTTTTATATTTTTAGAAAATACTATATTTTAATTAGAGTTAAATGGCCTTTTATTTTGATTAAATTGATTTTTTTTGGAATTATTTGTGATTTTTTAAAATTATGGTATTTTTGGATTTTTTAAAATTACCTTAATTAAGAAGATTTTTAAATTTTGATTCAAATCAATCCCAAAACTCTTGGGATTACCCCCAAAGGTCAGAAATAACCTAAAAGAATCTTCCCAAGCATTTGGGTAATTTTTGGAATTTTTAAATATTTTTAATTAATTATTGTAATTTATTGTTGATTTTCCTTTAAAATTAATTTAAAGTGAAATTAGGGGTTATCTGATAGAGATTTTATTTTTCATTAATCAAGGGTTTGATTAGGACCAATTAGAGGTCTTATATGAAATTTTTGGATTTGATATTAATTTTTAATGAATTAATTAAGGTTTTAGGCTAAATCTAGAGGAGGATTTTGGGGTTCTTAGTTGGTGGACCAAATAGGCACCAAACTCAGTAAATATTGGACCATGAGATCGCTGGATCGCAAGGTCCAAACCCTCTGAATTTGGGCCTAAGTGGAGATCTCTAAGGTGGCTAACCAAGCCACCTAAGGTAACCTCTAGGTCACCCTAGAAAATTCCTATATGACTATCCTAGGCTTGGATGGGGTTGCAATTAGTGACTCTAAACTCCTTAAACTAAGCATAATTAATACACCAAAGTTCAAATCCTAAATCTCATTGGATAGATTACAAAGACAATTTGAAATCAAGGGTAAAACCATGACCCTTGACTCCAAATTGACCCAATGATGCCCTTAGACGTTTCAAACAATGGAGATAAAATTTGAACATGTCAAATACATGCCCAAATTCAATCTCCCAAAGTCCCAAGCCATAATGACATTACATAAGCACACAAATGCTTAAATACCATAAACATTGAACTGGAAATTGAGGCTAACACATATATAATCAAGGCCTAAGACCATAGGACTTTTGAAGATCTCCCTGAGATCTTTCTAATGAGTTTAAGAGCACCTAAATCGGCCAAGTGAATTGGGAGATATGAAATTTTGAAGTTTCCCTCAATTTCTTGTGAAATTATCCCTATTTACACAGTTAGCCACCGCTTTTACACGCGGCACAATCTGATTGGTGAGGCAATATTGCCTGTTGACTGTGTAAACGTGGAATTGATTATAGCCGTTAGATGGTTGATCGAACGACTGCTATCAAATAGCCTCCGGAACCGCGGGATATAATCCGAACTGTTTATTGGAATCAATGGCTAGGATTGTGTCTTAAACCTCCCGCATGGACCTGAAGCTATAGATGTTTTTCGGCATGATCCAAGAGATTCTGCAGGCGAATTCCTTCGAAATTTCACAGGAGGGATCGGGACAACTTAAACCGTCAATCCAATGGCCAGATTCCGGTGGGTTGATAGTTTGCTGCACACTTTACCGACACTACCTAACTATGAGCTCGGGAGAGGATTCTCACAATGAAGAAAGCCCCAACGAATGAGTATTTCTATCAGGAAGCTTTAGGGGATGAAGGCGAGCAGTTCTCCTTCATACGTTGGGACTAGAGGGTGGCCGGAGGTACGACTTTGAGCGGGACGTAGACAGGTTTCACCTGAGCTCGCTCGAACTAGCAGGCGGAGTGGGCTGGGAAGCTGGGGAACAATAAAGGAAGACTTGGGGAGCTTTGAGGAAAGTTTTGGAATGCTTGGGAGCCAATCTAGACGTTTGGGTGAGGGAGCCCTATTCGAATTCCTCTCATGAGCTCGGACGGCTATGATGGCATTGACGGATAGTTGGATAGCTTCCAGGTGTCGGGGGACACTTCCTCAGAGGTCCGTGAGCTCGAAACCGGCGAGCTCAGGCTTTGGAAGCCTTTGGATGAGGCCTGAGATGGAGGGGACCACTGGAGATGCATTTGAATTTCTTCTTGAGAGAAATTCGGCTTCACGAGAGCAACAATTTTTAACTGAGTAATGATTTCTTCTCATTTTCATATTTGCAGCTCATTAAACACAACATCTCATGGAACAACAATGTCATTCCTCTTTAGATTGTAAAGACAATACGCTTTATATTCTTCATTACATCTAATTATGATATATTTTTTCTCCTTTTCATCAAACTTCTCTCTATATTGAAATGGAATAAAAGCATGAGCAAGACATCCTAAAACTTTTAAAATATTACTTGCGGCTATTGCCCATGCAAAGTTTTATATGGTGTTACATCTTGAACTATTTTTGCTGGAGGTTGATTGAGAATAGAAGTAGTTGTATTCACAGTATAGCCCAAAATTAATTTGGATGATTTTTGCCTTTGATAGCATATATATTGCCATCTATATACCATTGTACTACTCTTCCATTTATAATTTCATTTTGTTGTTCCCTGTGCTTCAAAATAACTTGTCTTCTTATGCCTTATTTTTTGCAATAATTGTTCAATGATATAGAGGAATTCATCATCTCGATCAATTCCTCAAGCCATTATTTGAGTGCTACATTAGAAAGTTGGAGAAAACTTTATTTTTTTTTCTCAAAAAGAAACCAAATTACTTCTATTATTAAATGAAGATTTTAAGGGCGGTATGAGGAGGCATGTGCTCCTACTAAATTTTTAACGATTCTTTGAAGATATAGATGACTTTTGCTAATTATTTGAATATATATATATTTCATTTGATTATTTTATTTTTATTTTGCATGAATGGGCCAGTTCTTTCTGCTGTTTCTGGGCTCGGAGTGAAAATAACTCATCTTCATGAAAGTAAGTTAATTTGAATCCACCTCTATTGAAACTCTTGTCCTTTAATTTTTCACAGGCAAGTAGAATGCCCATTTTCACGGTTAATCATTCTTATTATTGATTTTGTTTTTTTAGATTATATAGTGGCACTATCATGTTTGATCCTGGTGGCACTCTTCTCACTTCAACGCTTTGGAACACATCGAGTTGGTTTCATATTTGCTCCAATTGTAATTGCTTGGCTTCTGTGCATTAGTGTTATTGGTATATATAACATATTTAAATGGAATCCAAGTATCTTCCATGCCATCTCACCAGTGTACATGTACAAATTTCTCAGCAGTACTGGGGTAGAAGGTTGGGTTTCTTTGGGGGGTGTGGTCCTATGCATTACAGGTACCCTTTTCTCTCTGCCCCATGGACTCATTTGGTTCCTTCCTCAATTTCTAGGTTCATCATAGCAAATGATGGAAGTTATGAAGCTTCATTTCATTTCAATTTTTTTTTTTAATTTATGTTGCATTCGTTTTCAAGTATGAAACTGAAGAATTTTATTTTAAAACTTTATATTGATAATTCAGGTGCAGAGACCATGTTTGCCAATTTGGGTCATTTCTCTCCAATTTCAATTAAGGTTACTGAGTTCTCTCCTATGTACTTATTTTGTTTAAAAAAAGTTAGTTTGCACATAAATACTCACACTAAACATAAAATTGCAGATTGCTTTCTCCTTTCTGGTCTATCCTTGCCTCGTTCTTGCTTACATGGGTGAAGCTGCATTTCTTTCTAAGCACCACGATGATATACAGAGAAGCTTCTATAAAGCTATACCAGGCAGGACTTTTCTACTATTTTCTATTTTTTCATTAATTACCCCTAATATTTCATTTTTCTATTACTAAGCTAGATCCTTTAATCTCAATTTTTCATGCAGAAACTGTATTTTGGCCTGTATTCATAATAGCAACATGCGCTGCAGTAGTTGGAAGTCAGGCTGTGATTTCAGCAACCTTTTCTATTATAAGCCAGTGCTGTGCATTGAATTGCTTCCCTCTAGTGAAAATTATTCATACTTCAAATCACATATATGGTCAAATATACATCCCAGAGGTCAATTGGATTCTAATGTGCCTTTGTTTGGCTGTAACAATTGGACTTAGAAATACAAATATGATTGGACATGCATATGGTATACTATCTCACTACTCAGTATCCTCTTCTTTTCATTCTAGAAAATGAGTTATAAAAGGAAAAAAATGGGTTAGGATATCCAGGATGGATCTTGAAGCTCTTGAATCTACTTTAAAATTAGTGTAATTTACATTGCACTCATTTCAAAATAGATCAGAGTGCTTTGAAATCCATCCTAATAATCTTTTTAATAAAAATTTCTTTACAAAATGTAATGTAAATACCTATTTTCTTTTCAGGGCTTGCTGTCACAATTGTGATATTTGTAACAACTTGGTTGATGTTTCTGGTGATAATAATTGTCTGGAAGCAGAAGATCATTTCAGCTATCATTTTTCTCATATTCTTTGGATCTATAGAGCTTATATACATCTCAGCTTCCTTCATCAAGATCCCTGAAGGGGGTTGGATACCTCTTACACTTTCTATAATCTTTATGTGTGTGATGTACATCTGGAACTATGGTACACTGCTTAAGCATGAATTTGATTTACAGAATAAGGTCTCAGTTCAGAAGATATTAGCTTTAGGTCCTAACCTTGGACTTGTTCGGGTGCCGGGCATTGGACTGGTTTATACTGACTTGGTGACCGGTGTTCCTGCTGTTTTTGGACATTTTGCGATGAGTCTTCCAGCCTTTCATCAAGTTCTAATCTTTGTGTGCATTAAATCAGTTCAGGTTCCCTTCATCCCTGAGTGTGAAAGATTTCTCGTCGGCTGGATTGGGCCGAAGGAACATCTAATGTTCAGATGCATTGTGAGATATGGATACAAAGATTTGCGGCAAGAAAACCATGACTTTGAGAACAGGCTTGTGTCTAAAATTATCTCATTTGTGGAGATGGAAGAAGTTCTGAAATCAGAAGAGAATGCAGGTTTAGTAAAACCTGGAGAGTTTGGTCTGGTAGAGGGTTTTGTTAGAAGTGAGCAATCTATGGAGATATTTAAGGCTAAAGAATCTGGTGTGGTATACATTACTGGACACTCTTACGCTAAGGCAAGGAGTTCATCTTCCTTGATAAAGAAATTGGCCATAGATATTGTTTATGCTTTCCTTAGCAAGAATTGCAGAGCTCCTGATCTTCAGTTAAGTGTGCCTCACTCTTTGTTGCTTAAAGTAGGCATGGTTTACTATGTATAATTCAGAAAAAAAACTTTTTTTTTTATGCATCAAATTATATAGCAAATCATGTAAAAAATGAATATGGATTTGACTTCTATCAAATTGTTCATAGATTGAAATCTGAATTTTGAATTGAAATCTGAATTTTTCCAACAGCTGTAATGTTCGGAAGGCATAGAGCAAGGTCCTTAAAATATTAAATTAGATAAAATCAACATAAAGAGACGGAAATTTAGGCCAAATAAAAGGAATTAATATGTGTCACTATGGTTTACCTGTGCAAAATTCTATCGATGCCTGTAGCATTAAAATTCTGAAAACAATGAGTACAGGTTACTGCTTACTACTTAAGTTGAAACGAACTCAAAATTTATCAAAGAAGAAAGTAGATAAAATTGATCTGTTACACGTGAGATGCGTTTTATCGTTTAATTTTTTGTCAATTTTGTAAAATTTCTTACGTTAAATTTAAGTCCTAAAATTTGTGCATTTCACATTTTACATTAAAATTTTTTTGGGATAGCTTTTTTATTACTTTCTAAAACAATTTTTTCATACAAAAAATTTTTTGTACTAAAGAGCTGTTTTAAGAAATAGAAAAAAATCTATCTCAAACAAAGCCTACAAGTTGAAAGGTTATCATTGATATGACTATTTGTCCTAGCTTTTTCAAAATTGCAGTATTTTGTAAAAAAAAATTATAAACATCACACAAAATTAATTATTTATAGGAATAACACATAATAAAAAATATTAAATTTATCAATAATTTAATGACTGGAAAATAAAAGGTTGGGGTTTACTGTGCTCTTCAAGATTTGGGTTGTTGTGTTGCTAGTGTTGGCAATATGTGCTAGTTTTGTAAATTGTGAAGTTCCCAGTTTACATAAGAAGTTACCCCTTATAATGAGGTCCTTTTGAAAAAAAAAATAGTAAAATGAAATTTGATAATTTAGAATTAATTGAGATATGCTTTTTTTACTGCTCGAATAACTTACTAAATTCATATCAATTAAAGTGTCTATGGGACAGCTTTTTTGTTGCTTTCTAGAATAATTTTTTATTATAAAAATTTTTGTACTAAAAAATTGTTTTAGAAAGAAAAAAAAAAAAAAAAAACTCAATGATTTAAAGCAATCTAGCATATACAAGTTTTTACTATATCATTTTACACACATATTGTATGCTTAGACGCATATTGTAATTTCTCTAATCTAAAGAAAGTGGTTCTAAGGAGCAATTATTACGTCAGGTCACCTGACGCGTCCAGAGACCAATAATCACGCACCACGTCACCTGAAACTCGGTATTGAGCTCTCGATATTGCTCGGTATACGTCCGGATTTCCGGTTTTTTGTCCGGACGTAATAATTACTAGGTTCTAAGAGCGTGGAAAGTAATTGTTAGGGTGGATGGCCCAAATAAGAAGAGGCTCCTTGTAGGCTTCTAGGATGGCAGGCTTTCAGGTGAATAGCAGGGGACAATAAAAACAAGAAATTAAGAATTATTACTCAGCTATATAAATGAAGGGTTAGATCAAACATATGAGATGTCGTTTAGTTTAGCAAATGAAATTTCTTTGAGATCTCTACAATTGATCATGCTCATATGTGCTTTCACTTAATATAGGCGACCAAGTTCTTAGGAAGTTGCACCTAGAACGACTCAATTATAAGGTTTAGCCTAATATGGGGCAAGTTTGGTGAAAGAGAAAAATGACTCATATGTTCTATAATTGCCAATTCTATGGATGCTTGTTTTGTTGCATGCAATTATGCATGTGATCTTAATGCAAGAACTTGAATAAGATTTTTTTTCTTCTTAAAGTTATAACTCAGGGCATCTCCAACCGAAAATCTCATTTTCGACTCCAAAATGCAGTGAAACTCAAAAATGCAGCTTTTTATCTCCAATGGAACTCCATTTTGTATGCTTCTGAGAAGGTAGTGGTCTTTGTTCTCTTTCACGCATTTCTTTGGCAAATCCGGTAGAGACAGAAAATAGCGTAGGTGAACAGTGCAATGTCAATATTGGCGTTGCACTGTTCACCAGCAACCAAATAGTGGAAGTTTTGTCGTTCAGCTAGAGCTCACGAGCGATGCCACTCATGTGTTTGGAGTTTGGTTGGAGATGCCCTTAGGAACCATCTAAATTCTATTTTCAACAAATTTATAGGCAAAAGATGCATTTCAATGAGTCAAAACAATGAGCTCAAGATCTTCCAATTTTAACATCATTAAGACACTTGAATACTCAAAAATATTATATGATTTAGGAGATTAACACATATCATCCAAATGAGTGTTATAATTTTAAGTCAATAAATATAATTTTAGTCTCTAAAAAACTATAAATATGCCTTACTTCAATGTATTTGGAGGTTGATGAGGCCACATGAAGAATTCTAGAGGGAATCAATCTCTACCTACAAGCACCTTATGTCCTTCATCAACATTAATGCTTGTTGCCTCCACCATGCCTAACACCAATTGTCAACATCAATGTGATGCATATCATTGCCAACAAATGATGATGTTACAGTCGATGCTAGTGTTGATGTCAATCATTGCCATCAAGGCTTATGTTGCCATCAACATCAATATTGATGCACAATGTTGAAACCAAAGCTAACACATGCGTCGCCAACAATAATGACATTCACCATCTATAATATTTATCATGTCTACCATCACCAATAAAATCGATGCCCATTGTCACCACCAAGATCAACGTCTTCCATCAACACTAACACTGACACCCATCATTGACACCATGGCCAACACAACATTTCTAGCATGATCCACAGTCTCTACCAAGGGTGATGACCATGATAAGTTGTTGGTCTCCCCTTAAATAAGAAGAATGAATGAGTAAATCACCATGATTTCTTGAAGATTTCTCCAAACACCAACGATTGATCCAACTTCCACCATAGAAGTTGTCGTTCATGGTTTATATCTATTATATTATATCAATGCATTTTATAATAATGAGAATGCACATCCTTTGTATTCTATGACTCTTACTAGTAAAATCATTTCAACTGGATCATGCCTTGTAGTTTTTCTTCTTCCATTGGTTTTCAAAAAAAAAAAAAAAATTCACATCTCTTATAAACTACTCTCAACTTATTTATATGTATGTAGCATTTATACAATGTAAAGACGATAAACTCATTCTCTCGTTTACCTTATATTTTTCAGCACGCAATAATAGATATTTATTACAATATTGTTTTGCAAGAAAGGTGTTTGTAAAATTTGCGATTATTAGTATTTCATCATGAATTATTATTATATTTCTATTATTTCTTTATTAAGTGCTATTACAACAAGAAAAATCATCTCCAAAAGGGAGAAAAAATAACTCAAAAATTTAGGTTGCATTGCAAAATTCTTAGATAAGATATTATATTACTATATTTGTATCATGCCTGAGCCAATCCATATGAATTATACAATGTCATTAGACCTTTTAATTCAAACCACTATTTATAGGCAATGATAATGATAGACACAAATGGAAGGGTTACAAAAGAATAGAACAATTCAATAATCATTGCTAGATCTTATTAGCGAACATATAAATGATAAAGAAGTTGAATCCTAATGTTGTGGGTGCTACATATGAGTTTTATTGATGAAATGAGTTCAAGTTGATCTTTCAAGTTCTTTTAGGAAAATACTATGGTGATTTAACTTAGTAGATTGACTATTGAATTCTAGGGGTGTAATTGATGACTTCTGAATTATTAGATGAAGTGATAATTATGAGACTTTGGGCGACTTTTTAGTTCTAAGTTTTAAGTCGTTCTAACCCATATGTCAACCAATAATCTCTAATATTTGATCGAAATTTGCATTATAACTTGATTGATATTGAAGCTAATGTCATGGATGACTTGATAACCAACGGTTAAGTTATTAGGCCTTTAAAACCCTATGGTTGAGCCATATATACTGTGTCATGTTATTTTCCATGAAGAAAGGCATTTGCAACATTCAATAGTAGAATGGGCCAACTCAAGTGAAGGGAGATAATAAGAAATAAACGTATGGTAGGGGACTTGGAAACTGGGATAAATGTTTCCAAATAATCAATACCATATTATTGTTTATAGCCTAGTGCAAGAAGTCGAGCTTTGTATCCAGCAATGGATCCATCATAATGATTTTAAGTTTGAAGATCCATTACTGCCGATGACATTTCGATCGGAACTAGGAGGCATAAGTGTTCATCTGCCATGTGACTATAAGGATTGAAATTCATTAGAAAGTGCCTTTCTCCATTCAGGATGTTTAACTGCAGAGGTGAAGTAGGTGGGAGATGCGGTGCTGGAAGGAAGGTTGGAAGAGGAAGTGGACGGATGCATTGAGTGGGAAAAAGATGAGGTATGATTGAGAAGGTGGAGCATCAGGTGCAGGGAGAGGTTGAATAGCATTTGGGGGAAGACGAGGTTGAGAGAGTTGTGGAGTGGTTGCATGAGAGGGAGTGGGGGAGGGGACGGTAGTGAATTCATCAAATATAACATATATTGACATTGAAGGTTTGACCAATAACCAGATTATAAAAATGATAGCCTTTTTGTGAAGAAGGGTATCCACGAAAAATATAGGGTGTAGATCGAGCATCAAATTTATTAGTTAAATGAGATGAAGCCAAGGGTAGCACAATAACCAAACACTCTAAGATGAGTGTAGTAAGGAGGTTTCTTGTAAAGAAGATGATATGGAGGCAGATTGAATGTAGTGGGGGATAGTAATGTGCTAATTAAATAGGTAGTAGTGGGCGCAGCTTCAACC